GGATATTAAACAATAAAGTTTGCTAATAATATGACTTCTATTTTTTTTTTCTATATCCAATATGAACCCAAGATTGTAGACTAGTTATGTTTTAAGCACTCTTATAATATGAGTATCAAATAAAACGTTTCTTTAGGAAAAATAAAAAGAACTGAAATATTTTGCTATTAAAATATTACACATATAGAAGTAAAAGCTAGTGAGTGTTTTTGAAAACAGCAAACACTCACTGCTACCACGCATTTAGGAGTTCATACAACAGTGGTATAGAATGGATGCAAAATAATAATTTTTATAACTTATAATATCTAATAAACTACGATTTTACTCACTTCTTATCTGTTTTTCCGTGTTTACTTAAATAAATAACAACACACACTAATTAAGAAAACATTCAAATCAAAACAATACTCTATATCAGAACGGTTGTAAGTTGTCGTGTTAGCTGTAAGCAAATCGCGTGCTTAATCCAAAATCTTGATATGGTCTAGGCCTTACTAATTATAGTTTCACTTATAACTAGGAGTTGAAACAGTACGTTATTAAGTTTTAAAATAAGACACTATAAAACAATGGAGTTGATGACATGTACCAAGTATATAATGTTATTTGCGAGGTATTGCATAATATGCCAGCAGTTATTTTTTCTAATTAGTTTTTCGTTTCGTAATTGAAATGATTGCTTAGAGCAAAAAGTAATTAATAATCTATTATCTGGTGAATCTGATTTTAATAATGCTGAACGCAAATTATGCAGTATCAATATGCAGTATATAAAACTGGGGGCCCAACATACCACCCTAAGGTACCCACGAGTTACAACTTTATTGTCGCCCGCATTTGTAAGAGATTGAATGATGAAAAATGCACCACCGCGGAATACACGATTCCGACAGGATTCACAATGAAAGATAGCGCGACAGTCACAGCAACGAACGGCGCATTGAAATATGTAAGTACGAATATTTTATAGTGCCGAATTTCCTGGAGAAGAAAAATATTCACGTCGATTCCCACACGTAACATACCACAAAGATATACATCTATTATATATTTTTTCTTGTTATTACCTCCAACATTTTAATATAAAGTGGGTTCATATTTAGAATGGAAATTTTCTTTTGAATTATATAAAACACGAAGCGAGCGTATGTAATATAATCCTAATGTGTGTATGAACAATTGACATCCATATTCTATGCTTTCGTATTATCCTTATAGCTAGCATTTCGTAAAAGACTGTAGGCATTAATATGATGTTATTGACACCAACAGAATCGATGACGTATACGAAAACAACTTTCCTTTGTTATTTTAACAGTTATTGCCTTAATGTGTGTCTAATGTTTCGATAGAAATATAACTCTAATGCGATGCGGGATCATTTTCGTAATTATTAAATTTGTACCAATAAATCTAATTGTTTAAACTTTTAAATGTAAAGTCACTGTTTATTGATATTATACATGAAGTTGATTTTTATTGCTTAAATATAACTATATCATTGCGCACTTTAGAGGTATCTTAAATAGTTAATTCAGTTAACATGATAGATAATACTGTTTCTATTTCATTAACTATAATGTTAACGTTTCCTAGTCAATATTTTGTTACAAAATGTAACTATCGAACGTTAATTTGTATACATTTAATCTTGGAAACTTCAAGCCCTGAAACTCAATACGTACCACACAGAGTTACAGTCGGAACATATGCAAATAGGTGTTATAACACGACTGCAGCCGGCCCAGAGCGCCTCCGCAATACCTCCTAGATGCGGCGCACCTGCCCAATTCCGCCGATGTCGTATTTCCTATTCAAACTCCATTTACTGACATGGAACATTGTTGGACTCTCAGCTTTCTGGTGTTGCTTCTATAGATTTTGTTAGACTTCTTGCGAAATGTTTAAAGAGTTTATTGTCATCTTCAATCCTTTTCATACTGTTTAGTCTCAATATCAAATTTATTTACTAGTGGTCACAGAATTGTCAACACAAGCATAAGGGTTAAAACGTCATCAGAACTCACCAATATGAACTTCGACCTTGCACACACGATGGATGTTACATACTTCTGTGAGACGCTTGACGTTCTCTGTAAGACGCTCTTTTTTAGCAAAGATTTTTCTTTTTTACGTTTCTTTAAGGCTAAGCACGCACTGGTTACTGCTTATTAATGTTTTTGATGGCATGGGCGTGGTAACAGAAACTGTAAAACGGTAAGTGAGAGTGGCAAATAGTCACGTGGCCTAACTTTCAGTAAACAATGTCAAATGCATAGGAATGTATATGATTTTTTTGTTTACAGCATTTAAGCTTTATTAAAGGAAACTTATATACCTATAATCGCAGCATTCTTAACTTCTTCTCCATATAAACTTTAACTGTGCCAAATCTCATAATACTACCGTCTAATTTATTTAATTGTAAAAATGGGTTCAAAGTTTATGCCTCAATTTATAGTCACAGTTTGTCTATAAATTAGATAACTAAACTTATATACAGAACAACGACACCAACTCTGGACACTGAAAAATAACGTGCACGTGACCAACCTTAAAGAAACAAAATCAGCATTTATGGTATCTCTATAGACAGTGTCTTGATACAATTACCGGGGTATATTTTCCAGTGTTTATATGTTCTACCTCTGTAGTCACGTACTGTTCACAATTTGTAGTTCAGTAGATCCAGTTCGGTCCACCCTTGTAAAAATAATAGTTGGTGCGTCGTGCCTGTTGGAAGCATCGCTTTATACGTAGGGCTACCAAAATTATAGGTTCGCCAATTTATATATATATGAGTTTTAACTGAGAATATTATACTGCTAATTTATTTATTAACAAAAAGAAGTGTGATACATAATATGTACAATACTATTTTATGTGCACACAGTTGTAGGTCAGGTTACCATAATATTTCAAATTTCCTTAATTGATTTTGAACTCTGCTCACAATGTTTTAAGGTTTAGAATTAAGTAGAGAATTTGACTGTTTTATGACTTAACGCACATTATAGTTACAAATTATATATCATATATAATATGACTTGTTACAGATTAAAAAATTGCAATCATTAAACTTAGGTCCTCAAAGATAAAATATTACAAATGACGCTTTAAAACTAGCGGCCTACCCCGACTTTGCTCGGATACAATTTACATTAAGTAAACCAGTCGACATGATCTTCTAATCTTTTGAACAACAATCATCAAACTCTAATCAATTTACACATAACATTAATTAACTGTAGTCATCAAATTCTTCATCGGGAATAACTCCGCCACTAATAAAAAACAAATGACAATCAGTTCGATATTATTCAAACCGTTCATAAATAACATACAGATGTCGCAATTAAAGGTAAATTTTTTGACGTTCGCAATAAGAAAAAACTTTTATTGTCTTACGTATTAATCTCATATGAGACTTATGTGAGAAAAAATGCTTCTATTATTTTTATTTAAAATTGATGTAAAATTGTTTAATTTTACATTCCGTCGAAATAATTAAATATACTGCAGATGAATATTATAACAACCCTAGTTTCATCTAATCCGTAGATACCCGAAGTAGTAAAACGAGAGCCACGCGACGCGCCCCCACATCCTAGCATTAAGGTTTTAATAATAAATGAAGTAAAAATGTCTTCCCATGCAAGAACGAATCTAAAGAAATGAGACAATCTCTGAACTCATTTGCGCTGAACGCTAGACTAATGAAATTATATTACGCCCTTTTTTTGAGTCATGATAATGTGGCCAGTTAAAAACGTGTGTTATTACGCTTTATTCGATGTATTGTAAGTTGATCAATGTATTTAATGAAACATCGATCTTATATTTGATTAATTTTGCATTGCGAATTTAATTTCATTAAGAATTTATTGAGATACTCAAAATCCCCAAAATTTGGAAAACCATGATGTGGGTTTTTATCACCGTCATTAGCCGTAGGACGCCCACTGCTGAGCATAGGGCTCTAACATAGATCTCCAACACGATCGGTCCTGCGTCCCATTAGGTTCTGTCGCAACCAATATATGGAAATATAACATTCACAATGTTTTCCTTAACTTATTATAATTACAATTTTTATAAGGAAATTTGATAAAAACGCGACTCACTTTGTAGCCGAAGAAACATAAACATTTTAAATAAAAATTTCATATTAAAAAAAAAAAATCTTGGCTTATAACTAATATTTCTGTATACTAAAGAGAGAAAAAGAAATTCTCCAATTTTATTATGATTAAATCGACATCACATATTAAGTACATGAATTGTAATAAAACGCGAAATGTAAAGTTACGAAGTCCCAAGTCTGTCTCTTTGATGTTACTTGCCTTGTCGTGTAGCTCAAACGTATATTTTGCGAATGTGACCCCCTTAAATGGCTTTGATCTGAGTTTCACTCAGAGAAAAAAAATGTCTGCTTACCTCTTCTGGATATTTTCAAATAGATCTAGAACAAAGATATTAATATGTTTCTTATATTCTATTAGTAAAGTAAAAAATATTGTTTAAATGTATTTTACAAGCTTTCAACAAGATTTCTTATTTTAATATGAATGCTTTATTACTAAAATAGTATTGTATTATACACATAAACCTTCATCTTGAATCACTCTACATAAAGATGAAAACCGCGTTGTGTAGTTTTAAAGATTTCAGAGTAGTTTGTATTATACTATGTACTCTTATTAAAAGTGTGTATATGTGTCCGTAAAACCGTACTTTGAATGTAAAAATCAAATTTAAATTTTGTCAACAAATCAAACCATAATTATTTTGATAAAATCTAAACTGAAATCCTAACTACTAACTAAAATAGTGAAAATATTCGGACACCAAATATTGGAAGTAACTTTAGCTTACCTATATCCAACTCAGTTACCACCCAATGTGTAGTCAGAAGAATTGCACAACTATTAGTTTTTATGACTATATATAAAATAAATGAATGACCAATAATAATGTATTTTCTTTCATCTTTACAGATCATGTACGAGAATTTTCGTGCGGGACACAATACTACAGAACTTTCTTCGTGGATTCGAAACGGGATGCCCTATACGTGGGTGCAATGTAAGTTTTCTTCTTAAATTAATAGTAAAATTTCTTTTTTTATAAGTTTCTCTTAAAAATTCACACTTACCGAGGAGCGTAATTGAATATTGAGGTCGAACTTTGGAAAATATTTGGAAAAATCTAAACACGAATTTGAATTCACTCAGTTGACTGTATTCATGTCATTTAGTGGAGAAATTCTATTGATTCCATTTTTCCTATAACAACAAAAATCAAGATTGACTGATTCATACGTGTCTCAGATATTCTATTCCTATGTAATTTCGAAACTCACTTCAGTTATGCCACGAAATGTTAATACCAATTCAAGGTTAAGCGGATGTCGAATTCGAGTTATGATTTTTACGGAATCGCACCGCTGTGTAGAGCGGACACGACTCTCCAATTTACCTTACGCCCCCCGCCACAAAATATCTCAATATGCTCGGCTTATGTTTCTACGCTGAAACGACTATTTTACCGGTATGAAGGATTTTTTGATTTATGTATATTCGGTTGACTAGTAGAAAATGCCTTAAAAATTAAGTCCGCTTTGTATGTTTCTGTAGAAGTTTTAAATAATAACAATAATGCAAATTAAATTACAGATGACTAATAGAAGGATTCCGTGGTTAGCAACAACAATTTAACAATCAGAGTGGACATATCGTAGAGTGGAAAATTATAACAGACGAACATATTATTTCCTTATTCTCATATCACTTTCAGCAGTAGTAGTAACGCTCCCACGCATAGTAAATAATATTTTAATCAAAACTTAAAGGTGACAAGCCTTTGCTACCGAATAGGGATGGAATTAATGTGTATTTCAGTGTTATAAGTATACCGATCTAAGTTTCTTAATTACTAATATAGCATGTTTACATCTAGATCTGTTGGAACCCTCCTTTTTTAACTCGGGAAGTAAGTAATCTAATGCCTTAATTAGAATAATAATACATAGGTTTACATTTTGTAGTAAATATTTCTTAACATATTTAAGAAATCCAAATATATTTGTATAAGATATAACGTCTCGTACAATGATAATACCAACTGTCGACAAATATCAATAGTAAAAGTTTTTGCTGAGCTTTCTTTATATAGTACGACTTAATGTTGGCATACTCTAATTTTGTGCTGTTAATTAATTACAATGCAATACTTTTTAATTCCCTACTTTAATGTTTCTCTAAAATTGAGTTATTACTTATATTCAAAAACACCTTTTAAAATGAGGCTGATATCACTAAAGATTATCTCATTGAAACAAACACATTTTAACAGAATGTAATGTAATATAATCGACTGTTTCTATTAAGTAATAGATTTTCTTACGAGTTAAAACTTCAAGATTGGCTTTTTCAGCAAAGCAATAACCGTAAGATCGTCCATTGCAGATGTTTGCGACACTCCCGTTTATTTCACGAACGAAAACTTTCCTTGTCCCTTCGAATAGCCGAAGTTTGACCTTTATAAGTTTTTACTGACCAAGTTTTCTTTTCAGGGATCGGTTGTATCGGCTTAACATGAACAATATCAGCGCATCGCACTGCGAAGTAAGTAATTTCTTTTTTTTTTACTTTATGATACTGAGAAGGCAGTTCTTTTTCTGCTTTAGAATTTTCTTTGTACAAACCTTATCATCATCATATTCATTAGTCTATTATTACCCTCACTGCTGCGGCTAAGGTTTTGGAATACGTCATACCTACAACGCGAGTCGAACGCGCATTGATGGATTAACTCCTGTAACGGTTCGTCGTAACACACCGTTTATTTTGTCCTAGGTTCCCAATTTTTTTTCTTAGATTTTAACATCACACACAAGCTCTTTCTGAATGTCAGTTCTTGAAAAATTCATCCTGTGAGAACATTATATTTATCAATTATTATCAATTAAATCAGCAGTATAGAGACATGTTAATTTATATGATAAACGTGAAATATCTAATAAGTGCTACATATTAAATATAACCCAGAAAAGGATTTTTTATTTAGACCGCAAATAGGTATATCAACTTATCAAGCCTAGTCGGCCATTTCATTTACCAACCAATACCTAAGCGACTAAACGTGCGTTTCAAAATATAAAAGAGCTTGAGATAGTAAATTTGGTCTCCCTTCCATTGAAAAAGAACCTGTACTCATATAAATAACAAAAAAATCTATTACTATAATATTCTAGTCAACTACTATTGTAATTATTTATTCATTAATTTATTTAATTCATTCAAATAAGAAACTCGATACTTTTATAAAAGCTTATGTTTTTCTTATTTTGAGAACAGTCAGTACCTTTTTCTTAATTTCTTTTTCCAAACCCTTTTCTATGGTTCATTATCTCAAGAACTATTTATTTTCTTAGCTATCTTGAAATGCAAAGAATTTACATTTTAATTAAAACAGAATATCACTAACACAGTTACGTTTTGTTCACAGAGGGATTCGATAAATTTGGAACCTAGTAACGTCGCGCAATGTGTGTCCAAAGGAAAGTCTGAGGTGAGTCTTCAATATACAAAATATATTATCTATACAAAAATTATCAGCAGTAATCTATTTCCACCTACGCATTGTATAGAATGGGGTCTGCAGGTATATAATTTAAAAAATATTGTGAATATAATTCTCTATTACGTACTTGGGCAAAGTAGACAATTCCTAGTTTGTCATATATAAACCGAACTATAGCCAACGTCCACATTGTCATTGATTAATTTTATTGATAGGTTCATTATTATTGTTTTCTTTTCTAGCAATTGAGATTTTTATTACACTACTATGTATATATTTTTTTATTTTTGGTTGATATCAGAGATATTTGTATATCGTTAAATTTAGCGCCGTCTGTGGAGACTTGCAATTTGCTCTTCATTTCATTTCACCATTTATTTCGTTTTGTAAGCACCTGTATTATGGTTACCTGAAACCCTGAAACCATGAAGGTGCCACAATACCCAGACCGGAGACAATATATTAAAATTCATTTTCTACGTTCACCCAACCAAAAATCGAGAATCTAACCTCATAGGAGGTGACTTATTGAAACCAGCATAAGAGCTACACAGTCGTGGATGTCGTGAAAACAATACCACAATTGATCAGATAACAAGTAGGTAAAATCCGTATGTAATGGAAATCTTAAACAACGAAGATACACGTCAAGTTACGACAAAAAGCTTAATGTATCCAATCGATTACATGCCTTAATGTACTTGATAACTTAGTTCAAAATGCATTACGAAAATGAGACCCTTGGACTTAACCTCATGTGTTGTTGTATATTAAGCCGGTAGAGAATGAAGCTGCTCGGAGATAGCGATACCTTCAAACCTACGTGTGAGCCTCGACCAAGGAGGTCGTAATTATCTGCACGCATAATTCCTTCGCCGCTGCATTTTAATTAAAGCTGCGCTTATTTTCCGTAAAATTACTTACAACTAGCACTATTTCCATCAAGGGTTAATCCCATTTTTAACAGTGAGCTGCGGGGTGCGAGCATATTTCACGGCGGGAGCTTAGAGGCGCGCGGGCTCGCAATATTAAAGCCGTTAATTTTGATTTACAATCGCGGCGTAAAAGCAATATTTGTTTTATTTCTCGCCCGGTCGAGATCAGGGGACGATTATGGCGCCGTTTGCGAGGGCTAATTCGATAATGCTACCGCGCGAGAGGCTCTTATTGAAGAGTGCTTCACGGTGTTCTATCTCGACAGTGATTGGTTTTACTTCACCTGCCAAAGTTACAACTCTGTCAGATAGTTTTTAATCTGTTTATTTCTATCTGTCGCAGATAGAAATTATTTGAGTTCGTTAAACGGAAATGTTATGAAATGACTTCAATTTTTTAAATTAATAAATACAAAACTCAGTTGAATCTTTTCTCTTATCAAAGAAGCTGTAGGTACGATTTTTGCTATTTTATTTTTTTATCGCAATTATTAAAATGAAAGAGGCATTTGTTTATTTAGAAGCGTATATCTCCTTCAACTCGAATAAACATAGTTATTCGCTTTTGTTGACTCAACAAATATCTGGAATAAGAAACTCATAAAGCTCATAAGAAGAAATGGAATGTTTCATACGAGATATGTACAGAGTTTCAAAATAAACAGTAAAAGTAAAACCTCTTTGCGACTGTAAAAGGTAACGAGAGGCGAAAAAAGTTGAGCCGAATTCACGAACGCGTTACAAATGTATAACGTCTCGTATGGGTTAGCAAATAAAAGGTCAAACTTCGCTCAATAGCCGAAAGAAAAGCCATATAGACAATTATTGAGGAGGATGATGGAAATCAGGTATTTTAAAACGGGATAATGGAAGATTTATTTTTATCTTTTATGTTACAAATTTTAGTACAAAGAGTAAAGTATCAAACAAAAACCAAAATGACATTCTTTATAAACTTAAAATAAAACAATCAAAGATATAATGAGGTGCTATCGTGCACATGGTCCCTTTTTTAAACTGGAAGAATAATCAGTTTCTTCAAAGGCCGACGAAGCACACCCGTACGAGTCTCTACATCAACGACTCTCACCACGCCATCTCTGCCGGGGTAAAGCGCTGCGATACGACCCCTGGGCCAAGAAGCTCTTGGTAAGGAACTGTCAGCTATTATGACAACGTCACCGATATTAATATTCGGAGTTTCTCCTCTAAGTCTTCTTGGGATGAGGGTTGGCAGGTACTCTTTAAGCCAGCGCTGCCAAAAAGCATCAGCCATTAATACAGCTTTTCGCCATCCTACTCTACTGCACTGGTCTGAAGTGTCCAAATTAGCTGGAATGGACCTACCAGATGAAGAACCCAAAATGAAGTGAAAAGGTGTAAGGGCTTCTTGATCTTCATGGTTCGTTGAAACATGAGTGAGTGGACGTGAGTTGACAATCGCCTCGATTTCGCATAAAAGAGTTCTAAGAACTTCGTCAGTTGGGGATCTGTTATCTAAAGATGTCTTCATGGCAGCTTTCACTGATCTTATCAGTCTCTCCCATGCTCCCCCCATAAAAGGCGCTGAGGGCGGGATAAACTTCCAGCGTATCCTTTCAGTCGCCGAATATTCTAGAATGGCATTTTCATAAATAGCTCTTAGTTGTCTGTTAGCACCAACAAATGCAGTTCCGTTATCGGAGTAAATTTCAGATGGTGTTCCGCGGCGAGCAATGAACCTTCGCAGGGCCATTATAGCAGCATCCGTAGAAAGAGAGTTGACCACTTCCAAATGGATGGCTCGAACGGAGAGACATGTATAAAGGGCTACGTACCTTTTCTCTGTTCTGCGGCTAACAGAAACTGTTATAGGACCGAAATAATCAAGGCCAATAAAGGAGAATGGCCGAAGATGGTGAGCTAGCCTTGCTTCTGGTAGGTCTCCCATGGGAGGTTGACAAGGTATGGCACGGCGGATTCGACAAAACTGACAATTATGTGCCACAGAGCGGACGGTGTTTCTCAGGCTAATTATCCAGTAGGCCTGTCTGATCTCATTGACGACCGTCTCATTGTTTGCGTGAGCAGTTCTTTTATGATGGTATAGTACAAGCAATCGCACGGCGTAGTGTTTTCCGTCAAGAAGAATTGGAAACTTGATTGTTTCATCAACGTCTGGAGCTGCGGTGATACGAGATGACAAGCGCAGCAAGTTGTTCTTGTCAAAGTAGGCGGGTAATTTCAACAAACGACTACGAGATGATATGGGTTGGCCATTCCTTATACATCTGATTTCTTCGGGAAAGGAGTCTAACTGACATCTACGCAGTATATGAATTTCCGCTAATCTTAGATCATCTGCTGTGAGTGTGCTCCGTGGACCGTTATCATTATTATTATGACGTCGTAGAGCGACATTGACTTGTGGCGTAAATGAGAAAATAAGGTTTTCGACTTTATTTGAATGATCTACATGGAGACCTTTTTTTCTCAAAACTTTTATCCTTAGAGTTGAAAGATAACGATGAGCAAATGCTGTAGAACGAACCAAACGTGACCATGAACTAAATCTTTCTACTTCTGGACAGAGTGATATGACATTGTTATTGTCTAGAATGAAATGATTTTGATCATGAATTCTTTGAACTGGTTTAAGTTCTAATGTGATAGGTGACATAACTGGCTCAGTTGGCCAATCCGAAGTGAGTAAAAACCGTGGACCATTGAGCCAACGACACTCTTGAGTTAGGGGGCCTCGCTTGAGACGCGTTGCATCGTCAGCAACATTTAAATGAGTGGGGACCCATCGCCATTCGCTAACGTCTGTAAGTTCAATGATCTCACCAACCCGATGAGCTACAAATGGTTTATATGAGCGTGCGTCATTACGAAGCCAACCTAAAACATTCATTGAATCGCACCAAAATACGCGCTTAACAATTGTGAATCTAGTAGCATCTACTACGGTTTTAGCTAAGCGAGCTGCTATTAAAGCTGCTTGTAGCTCAAGTCGAGGAATACTGCTAGGTTTCAAAGGGGCTACGCGAGACTTGCTACATACTAATGCGAGCTGGATGTGTTCGTTTGGGTAAATAAAACGGAAATATACAACTGCAGAATAAGCCTGCTCGCTTGCATCTGCGAACACGTGCAGCTCAATCGTTTGAGGTTCTTCCTCAAGTGAGTTGTAGCAGCGTGGAATTCTGAGTTGAGAAGTGACAATTAAATCCGTAAACCAATCATTCCATGCCGCTACCTCTGTTTGAGGAAGCACAGCGTCCCAATCTAGCTTCATCCGCCAGACATTCTGGAACATGATTCGACCACTAATGACTACGGGTGCCAGGATGCCTAGGGGATCGAAAATGTGCATAATTAGAGATAAGATCACTCGTTTTGTGATTCGATTTGGCAAACAATTCTGATTACTTTTTACTGGAGTATTAAAACTAATTAAATCAGCTGAGGGCTCCCAGGTCAAACCTAATACTCTAACATGTATATTAGACGTACTGTCCAGGCTGGAATTCAAAGAGTCAGTTTGATCTGCTAACAGGTTCTTTGGTAATTGTTGGAGAGCAAGTGGATCATTACAGACCCAACCTCTCATTTGAAGGCATGCGCGGGCATGGATATCAACTATTTGCAAACACAAATGCGCAGCTTCTTCAGTTGAACTCACAGAACAAATAAAATCATCCATGTAGACATCTGTAATGATCCGGTGTACTGCTTCAGGAAACTGATCTTTAAATTCAAGAGCATTTTTATTTTTCATATAAATGGCTGTGAAGGGGCTAGACACAGCACCAAATATCATAGACGACATTCTATAATAACTCAAAGGTTCGTTAGGGCTGTCTCTCCATATAAAACGTTGCGCATCCCTATCACGTTCTATAATTTTAAACTGAGGAAACATTTCCTTTATGTCCGCCGTCATAGCTATTTTCCCTTCTCTGAAGCGAATAAGGATATCAAATAGAGATTGAAGTTGATCGGGCCCAGTCAGAAGGAGACTATTTAAACTAATACCATTTGTTTGAGCAGCAGCGTCGTGTACCACTCGCA